TGGAGGTGCAAATTAGTGCTACCTCTATTGACAAAAACTTAGAATATTTACCAAAATAAAAAATGTACTTTCCTTTGATTCACCACTTCCACTGCTAAAAATTGAGCTTAGAAATTCAAGACCTGCATACAAATAAGCCAATTGCAAAATTTCTTGTAATGGAAAAAAATAAAAATAATTTCGTCATTTGTCAATAGTTGACTCATAAACGGAATCATGACATACAAAACACATAATCTATGTAGTTGTTTGAAAGGAATGGTGTTAACAAGGATATTTCTAAGAAATATTAGGTGGGAAAAAAGTACAGAAGGAATATGATTCCACTTGTATAAATATGAAATGTGGGGGTGGAGAGAGTGTATATCAATAGGCACACATAAGCATAGATATTTTTCTGGAAAAACACCTAAGAAACTGAGACGTTGTTACTTTTGGGAGAGGAATGGGGTGGAGAAGAAGGAGATATGTAGAATAGAGCAATATTTTTATTTTGTGCTTTTCCAAACTCTTGGAAGATTATAATCATGTCCCTTAATCGTTTTTCTTTTTTTCTTGAAGATATTGCTTCAGTAAAGTTGATCCTCAAATGGCATGATGTGAGGCAAAATCCCAGACAAAAGGGGCTTCCTTTACTTTTGGTCTTGCCCACTAGCAACAATAGAAAGTCTACAGTGATTTTCCTCTGTGTCAATGGCCTGGGAATGCAGTTCTGTTTCCACGGAGTGTTTTCTGGTTGCCATATTTAGATTCTAAGAAATACCAGCTACAGTGTGAGAAATCTTGCTGACTGGCATATTATTTTCCCCTCAATGTAAAGTCACGTGTAGCAGTTGGAGTCCATCTAGCTTTGTTCAGCTCAGCAGATACATCAGGAAATTCTTAGTTCCGTTCTCTTGCTCCCTACTCAAGGGCAGAACCATTGCTATTTGTATAATGGAAGAATGGATGACTTAGAAATAGAAGGATGGAAGAAGGAATAGAAGGCTCAAGGGAATATCTTTCTGGTCAGATAAGCTGATTCTTTTCACTCCCTGGTCCTTGAGGCGACATTGTCATTTTGCAGGCCACTAAACTCAAACAGACTGAGGCTGACACTGCCCTTTCAGAAGGCGTCTCTGCCACCTACTTTGTCCAGCCTTTCTCTTGTTCTTTTGGAACCTGCCTCTAAAAATTCTAAGTCATCTCCCAAAGCCCTGCTTTCTCACATCCCAATGCACAGTTTCTTTTATTCACACGTTTCTCTAATTTCCTATCTTTAGGGCTGAGCACAGCATTTGACAAGAAGTCCTGTTCTTTTGTTCCCTTTTTGACTAATTTTTGGCTTATACAACCCAGCATTTTCTTCATTGTTAGCTTCTTTCCACAAATATATTGAGTGCCTGGGTGCCAGGGCCCAGTCTAGGACTTGGACTTAGTCTTTATAACTTTGTACTACACATCTAAATTTTATCTACGTAGCACACAGCTCATCTATTGGACCTTCATTTCCAGTTTTTCAGCTAGGAGAACTGGAGAGGCACAAACCTATTTCAAATGGCCCATTTGAGCACTGAATGCAATTTATTAACTGGTATAATAAAAATACAATTTATTATTATGTAGGATTTGAAGCATTTTTTAGAATGAGGAGCCCATGTCTTGCAAGATTAGAACCACTGGTGATGGATAAAAATAATACACACACATACGACATTGACAGGGGCTACTTATACTATTACTGAATCAGGAGAGGTAAATGTAACCTTAAGAATAATTTGTGACATTTCAACCCCACCTTCACAAGTGATCCTCAGTACTAACAACTCAAGCTTCAGTGCCACATGTTATTTTTAAAGTGAAAACTGAAAATATTGCTTTAGATGGAGACCACTACTACTTACATACCATGTTTACAAATACATAAAATCTATTTTCTAATGTGAAAATGTGGCTCTCTGAGCTTATTAGTTCCTAAAAGTTGAACATATTCAAACTTACAAACAATGGAAAAGGTTTTAAGTATCACTTTGGCCTAATATCCCACACGTAACTGTTAGGGGTCATTTGCAGAAGCATCTTGGGGCCTAACAGGTCATCACTTACGTCATGTAGGTGAAAAATGTGCTGAGGGGCTCCAAGGAGTTATTCCGGAAAGAGTCGAATTCTCTGCATAATCGTTTTCTCATCTCGGTGTCAATTTTGGAAACAGTAAGAGGATTTGTTTGATTGGCCAAGAAGTTGCCATAATCAGTGGTCTGGAGATGGATTTTGAGATCTGAAATAAAATAAAACCCCAAATCAGGTTAAATTTTGAGCATGCATGAATAGCTTTTTCAACATTAACTGAATTTATAGCAACTTTATGGTACAAACATAACTCATTAGACTTTAACATAGGTCTACATAGGATTTCGACTTCAGTGTTGATTTCTAAAGCAATGAAAATTCAAAGTGAATATGGATATTTCAGCACACCACAAAATTTTTGATTACCTAAGAAATCTGGTATTATTGAACAAGGCTATAATAATAACAATAATAACAATAACAAACACTAGTCCAGAGATGGTAAATAGGTTTTACCCAAAACAGTTTTAGTTATTTGGATATAGCTGTTTTGGAAACCATTGAGAAGGATACTAAGGCTCTATCCCAACTTGATGGAAAGGAGAAATTTATTAGTAATAATTACCCAGAGTATGGGGGTGGAATGGGCAGCCATCACCACTATATTTCAACATCTTTTATTACAGATGGAGAAATTGAAGCTCAGTGGGGCTAAACGGTGGGGTTATATAACAGTAGAGCTTGCACTACGAGATGAGTCTCCTTACTCTTAAAACCCAGCATCATTTCCACCACACCATGCCATGCATCTTTAAATGTCGATGGTTCTGGTTGCCAGACAATTGGACTGAATTGAATTCCAGCTTCATCTGTTGTCACTTCCTCCTGAGCAAACCATATGTTTTCTAGTATCCATACTTCTGTTAATGCTGCCCCAACCCCATTCTCTAGAATTTCTCCCCCAACCCCTTTTCAGATCTGCTCATTATAATGTATCCTTTAAGGTCAGATTATAACATTAAAATAATAATTACAAGTGATCAAGTGCTAATTATGTGCCAGGTATTGTACTAGGCCTGTATTATCTCATTTAATACTCATGGCAATCCTATGAGGTAGGAATGATTTTTATGTCCTTGTACAGATAAGAACACCAAAGCTCAGAAAAGTTAATAACTTGCTCAAGATCATACAGATAAACTGTGATTCAAAGCCAGGTTTACCTCACTTCAAAGTTATTTAAAACCTTATTTTATTGCCAACCAATTCAATTAGATTATTACTTGCTCTGTAAAGCCTTAATTCTCTCAGGCAGAATTATTCAATCTCACTCATCTGAATTTCAAAGTACTTTGATAATACCTCTAGCATGACACCTATTACAAGATACTATATAGTCTTAAGTATTGTTAACCCAAAAAGGAAGTTACACTATCTATGTATAAATATATCATTCAAACATTTATTAAGCATCTAGTATGTGCTGTCACCTACAGGAGAGCCAAAAATAGACTAGACATATATTCCTCATCCTTAAGAAACTCACAAATTGGTGGGGGAGGAGGCAACCGCAAACAGATGCTTCAAACGTGTGCTAAGTTCAGTGATAAAGATTAGGTCCTGATTTGTGGGAACACAGAAAATGAGACCCAGATTCATGGGGATGGGAGCAAGAAGTCTAGGGAAGTTTCTTGAACGAGATTAGCCAGAGATGAGCCTTAAAGTGCTATGTAAGAGTGGAGGAGGAGGAAGAGTGCAGGAAGGCGCTCCATGAATCAGCACAGGGATGGTGTGCGCAGGAAGCTCAAAGCAGTTCAGTGCTGCTGAAGCATTAAGTGGGAGAGAAGGAAATTAAAAATAGAGCTACCATATATGATCCAGCAATCCCACTACTGGGTATGTATCTAAAGGAAATGAAATCGGTATATCAAAGAGGTATCCACACTCTCGTATTTATTGCAACATTATTCACAGTAGCCAAGAGATGGAACCAACCTAAATGTCCATCAGTGGATGAATGGACAAAGAAAATGTGGTATAAATACACAATAGAACACTATTCATCCTTTAAAAAGAAGGAAATCCTGTCATTTGTGCCCACATGGATAATCCTGTCATTTGTGACAACACAGATGAGCCTGGAGGACATAATGTTAAGTGAAATAAGCCAGACTGAAAGACAAATGAGAGTAGATTTTGTGTTCTCACCACAAAAAAATAAGTATGTGAGGTAATACATATGTTAATTCAGTCAGTTGAACCATTCCATGATAACCTACAGGTCACATCTGGCAGACTTCCAAATTAACCCTCCTGACGAAGGTCTTATGATTCATGGTTTGCATCTTGTCCCTGAGTACAGAATCTTATCGTGTGACCCTCAAACTGTTGATGTACTAATACATAACTTACTGACATTTTAAAGTACACTGATTTGTTTCTGAATCATGAAGTTTTACTGATCATCTTGCAGGTAGAACATTTTAGCCTGTATGTTGTCCGTAGCCAATGATTGTAACCTTTCCCATAAAAGCCTTCCAACTTGTAGCAGACTCTGGAACATATCCAACATTGTGGTCGATGCTCACATTTGGCTGCCAATAAACAGTTATCAAATTATTTCTGCCTCAACAGCCTTAATTTCAGATGACAATACAACGTGTACATATTTTAAAACATCGTGTTATATATGGTAAATATATGCAATTTTTATTTAGCAATTTTAAAAACTGGTGGTAGACCAGCTGGGTGCCGTGGCTCCCACCTATAATCCTAGCACTCTGGGAGGCCAAGGCAGGAGGATTGCTTGAGGTCAGGAGTTTGATACCAGCCTGAACAAGAGTAAGACCTCATCTCTACTAAAAATAGAAAAAATTAGCCAGGTGTGGTGGCAAGTCCCAGCTACTTGGGAGGCTGAGGCAGGAGGATCACTTGAGCCCAGGAGTTACAGGTTGCTGTGAGCTAGGCTGACACCATGGCACTCTACTGAGGGCAACAGAGTGAGACATTGTCTAAAAAAAAAAAAAAAAATGGTGGTAGAAAAGGAGAAGTAAGAACGGAGGCCAAAGAAGTAAGTGGGGTTGCCCCAAGGAGGGTTTGATACGGTATCTTTATTCTGAGGATAACAGGAGGCCATTGTGGTCTATGAATTGATTACTGATAGCTGGGGGAGGGTGGATCTGCAATCAGGCACAATGTGGTTCGCGAGTGGCTGAAATTCAGGGTACAGGCATTCTTCCTCAGTGTCAGGAGTAGATTTTGCAGCAGAAATGCTCTTTCTCTGACTGCAGAATTTATTTGCTCAATTACTTATTTAATTAACTTAAAACAATTCTACTTTGTTGCCATGCCTTGTTTGGCTTTTATTTTGGCAGTGCAGATTTTTATGCAATTTGACAGTTTGCATTCTCAGCACCAAGGAATATTTGCCAACACAAGTGACACAAATGGTATTTCTTTAAAAACCATGATATTTTGCTCATGTGACATATGTTTCTTTTAAGCTTAAATAACTTTCAAACCTTTCAGCTGCCAAGGAGATTCTGAAATTAAATGTCTCCAGTATTTCATACCCTGTAGGAATCTTACAATACTATAGTTGGTGAAGAGGCCAATGGAACAGAATGAACTCTACTTCCCTAGCACCAAAATCATCCAAGAAACACTTGCATTCAGAATCTAAGAAAATCTTAGGATCTGAAATGTTTTCTCTGAGATGATGATAGACTGCCATAACTATAATGCTCATGGTTTCACGATTTTTAAAATGGGTTCACTTAATTATTTTTTCCTGCATTTCCCTAAATGCTTATCTTATCTAAATAGGTATGTGAGTAACAGGACTTCATGGTCAAATAAATTTCCAATAAATAGGCTTCTTATGGTAGGAACAGAAAGCCTTTAGTACATTAATTTAATGATTCCTTTGAAAAGAGTATGGCACAGAACCTCCCAAGCCACTAAAAAAGCAATAGGCCACCCACAGAGCACACTTGGGAAAATTACATTACTTTTTTACCCAAAGAGGTAGTGGTGTTTTTTCTTTTTTATTAAAATGAGGAAATGAAATGTTTTCTAAACTGTGGGATCACTGTGAACTAAATCAATTTAATAGGTCTCACATAGCAATAAAATAAATGGAATAGATTATGCTATCTTAACAAAGAGGAGAGTATATCACAGAGTAGTGTAAATGTGTGTCTGCTTGTGTGTTCAGAGTCATAATGCAAAAACGTGTGCTCTGTGGGCTGCAGTCAGTGGGTAAAGGGAATTATCAGAGATCACTTGGCTAGTGAATGAGTCAGGACAAGGAACTGAGACTGCATGGTTGTCTTCTATTAATTTGTTGGGAGATCATTTTTAGAAAATTCTTTTTTTCTGTGCAGCTTCCTGTTTGGGCCTCTCTATAAAAGTGAATGTCCAGATCTTTCATACTCCAGGTAGGTTATGCCAAGGAAGTGCCTTCAGAGGTACCTGTCCAGGGTGCTACCCAAGCAGACCCGAGAAGCCTTTCCTCACACTCTGCTGGTGCCAAACTTAGGGAGGTTATCTGACTTTGCTGAACCCAGTTTCCTCCTCTACAAAATGAAGGTAGAATCTATGCTTGCAGGTTGTCTTGTGGATTAAACAAGATGATGCAGGTAGGTGAAGAGCCAGCATAGAAAAGCCTCTACCAAAATATACATTTTTTTCTTTTCACTTTTATCCACTCACCTCCAAAATAAATGGATTCAGCTGGCTAAAGACTTTGGCTTTTATTCTCTAAACCAGAACTTTCCCAACCAACATATCGGAATCTACCATAAGATCTTATAATTATTCAGATTTTTAATAAATACACACGTGTCTACCAAACCAGACCCTTGTTTCTCCATTTTTGCTAATTAATTGCTATTCTTACAATGTTGAAACCTCCAAGTCCTCTTTGGTGCTTAATTACTCCAAATCATCTCTATTTCTTCCCTGATTTCCACTCTCTACTCCCCGATTTAGAATGATCATCTAACACTCCGATTACTGCGGCAATCTCTAAATCAATTTTCCCAGGCTCATTTCTCCTCACCAGCTCCCTGCCTCATGTTTAATCTTCCCTTGGACTTGTTTGGTTCTGTAATGCTTCTACAAGTAGCTTGGAGCCACTGACAGGTTTTAGGCAGATGAAAAACAGCTTTCATAAGATCTGTAGAGAGTTTTACCACAGACAGAATG